TCTCAATGAAATATTTATTTTTGTTCCAAATAAACAAACTATTTTTAGTCATTCATTGTAACTATATTTAGAATTAATGTTTTTCTATTGTTACAAGCATTCTCTTTATCATACTTGTATATAAATGTGTTAGATTAGAATAAGTGATTAGGAATTATATATTCTGTTCTATTTTTTTGCATGAATGTCTAGCAAAAGTGTCTACAGTTTCTTTGACAACAAAAATACGAAAACCGCTTTATTTGATATTTAAATGTTATATCAAGCTATTAAGCCAAATGATTGCCGTAATTAATTGGGCTATTATAACGCTATAATTAATAATTAGAAACTAAGTAATTTGGTACTAGAAGTAGACGTTAGGTGCCATCTCGTAATTACATAATAATAGCCCGATTAGTTACGGTGATCATTTGGCTTAATATCAATACATTGGGCTTCGCGATGTTGATATATATATTAAATGTTATATCATTAGAAACATATTTTAATGGAGTTTTGTAGTTTTTATTCTTTAAGAATGTAAATACTTCTGGATTTTTTTTTATTCTCAGGCTCCAATCCTTGGAACGACTGTTACAGCAACTATTGCCATAGTAACATAATCGCAAAACTGAGACTCGTAAACATTGTAATAACACGAATGCAATTAAACAATTGTAAACACTAATAAGTTAAGAAGTCCTACTATTCTTATTACAAACTAACCATTTTCAAGACCATCTCAGCATCATATATCCAACATTGTTCTAATTTTAATGTATATTATCAGCATTCTAAAGCAATTACTTAAAATTTAAAAGTATTCATTCCGTCGGATTGTTTAAATGAGTTTGAAACTAAAACAGTATTTTAACAGTCAAAAATAACGTTAATATAAAATATTATTTAAAGAAAAGCATTGAAAAAGAAAAGATAAATATTTAGAAAATTTAAGATGAAGTGACAGACTATTTAACTGATGTAGTGTATCTTGTTAAACATGGAAGTTCTTGCATTTTTGGCAGACATTATTAACCACACCCACTCGTGGGTCAAGGTTGTTCAGTGTCTTAAAGTGAGGAGGGGATGTTCTGTAGTGACTATTAGGAGTTCCTCTGCCTTTCATAATAGGAGATTTTTCTTTTTGGGTTTACCTGGCCCATCGTAGGGTTGCCAGTTTGTCTGCTAGTAGTAATATTGTTGCTGTGGTGGATGTTTTTATTTAAAATTTAATAGTAAATTGTTCAATGGAATTGGTTATTTAGTTAAAATGAATAAAAAGAAAACATATTTCTAAAACTTTAAAAAAAATTAAAATATAGAATAGTCTGAGTTAAAATATTCAGTCGACACCAATTCCAAGGTAATGAATTACGACTTGAAACAGTTAAACTATAAAAAAAGGTGACGAGCGTTTATATACTACTACTGCTACATCCTGCTGCTGATTTTTTTCTTCTTTATTATAAATAAAATTTAAGGAATTTTTAGTATTTTTGTAATTCTCTTTCACTATTTTTGTGGCTAGTTTTTTTGTGTTTGGTGATTTTTGATGGAATCTGCCTTATTTTCTTATGTATTTTGATACGTAATTTATCAGGAAAATGCCCTCTGTGCATTTGGATATTCCCAGAAGTTGTTTGTTAAATTACATTAAAAAAAAATGTAAATTTGATTATTAAAAATTGGCAAAAAAAATCTATTTCTTTTATGTTATGACAGTAAACATATATAAGTGTATACTCTGAATATATTTATAAACCTAACAACACAGTGTTATAAAAAAAAAATCAAACATATCAAGGTTTTGATTTCAAAATATTGTTTAAATAACACATCATCCTAACAGTAGTTGGTCTCCTATCCTGTATAAAATTTCTTGATAAACAATTATAATTATTAGGCCTAGATCATTCTATTAAATAATAAAGTGTGATTTTACAGTACTTGATTGCTTACTGTTCTCTCAATTACAGTAGAGCGTCGTTTATCCAAATCAATTGGGGACTGAGGTTGCTCGGATAACTTATTTTTCAGATAACCGATTATGTACGAAAAAATATATTAACCTATTCCATGTTGAAATTTTTCTCCGTTGCGTGTCGCTTTGCATTGAATTTTCGTCAATGTTAAGCCTAACGTATACTTTTTAAAATAATAATTGTGGCTATTGTATCGTTAAAAATTATTTTTTTATTTTGTACGAACAAAATAAATATATTGAAAAATATAAAAACCAAAAAATATATACTTTAGAAGATGATCTAGTATCAAAAACATTCAATTTAGCACGACACACAGTCCTCAGAAAAACACCATGCAAAAGTGCCAGTGCTGCCAGCTAAAACACACACACCAACAAAAAAAAATATTGGAGTAGCCCAAGATATAGCCAAAGATTGCAGCGCCACAGCACTAGCGAAAATTTAAATTTGCCGACTGGAATGCTTTCGGATAAACGACGCTCTACTGTACAGTAATACCTCAACTTACGCTATCCTGACTTACGCGAACCTGGAGTTACGCGATTTTCAAATCTCGTTGAATCGTCTTTTGTTTGAGCGCCAGGCAACTCTTGATTACTCACTCTCCCACACTATTGTTCAGCTTACATGTTCAGATGTGTCGCGCGGAATTGACGCATAGCTAGAATTTATTTTGTGTTATTTATTTCTGTGTATTTTATATCTACAGAGACTTGAGAGACTCTATGTGGTGATTTCTTGTAACCGTGAATAAATCAAAAGACGAGATAAGATTAACGAGAACATTTATTAGCTTACATACCTCCAACTTGGGTTTTACACAAATTGCGAAATTATACCCCAACTTACACAAATTTGACTTACGCGGTTATCGCTTGGTCCCACCTATCGCGTAAGTTCGGGGTATCACTGTAGTTGTATTTTCTTCAGAGCACGAGGTATCTGTTGAGAACAAATCATACAGGAACTCTTTTTAAGTGGAAAAGGTATGTTTTGAAAATAAACCTACCTCAAAAAGAGTTTCTGCGTGATTTGTTTTCAACAGCAACCTTGTGATAATTCAGAAGGAAATACAATGTGATTTTACACTCAATATAATCAAGTAATCCAGATTGTTCAGCCATTTTGTGAAGATGTAGCATCTTCTAATCCTCTATATTTCATGAAAAACATGAAAAATATATTTCTGGTATTGTTTTAAGTAGAGTATAGAAGATTAAGGTTATAGTCAATAGAATATAATAGCATAAATTAATTAAAAAGAAATGTTTGTTGTTTATATTTCTGTGAATATAAAATTAAATAATAATTAAATCAATTACTGATTTGAATATTTTTAAATAACTAATCTACCTCTAACACACAGAATGAATGCTGGAAAATTAAACAAATTTTATCAAATAGTTTAATGGGAATTCCAAACTGGAATGTTCTAACATTTACATAGATGTTTTTTGAAAATTATAATGATATTGGCAAACACTTTTTCAAAAAATATCAATGTAAATATTAGAAAGTTTCAGTTTGGAATGCTCAGCAAACTGTTTGATTCGGAATAGAGTAAAACCTGACACATGCTTCTAAACAAGGCAGAAAACATTTATTTATTAAAGATTGTTGCTGGAGTATAAGGAAGGTGTTATGTTCATAACTCTAACAAGGAATGAACAACTTTAACATGTAATAAATGAAACTTTAGGCAGCTTGCTTTTAATTACCTGCAATACAAAATTAATTTTTTGGATTCAAAAGGAAAATAGGGATATTTGAACTTAAAATCTTACAGAAAATTTGTTATATTCATTAAAAAAAGCCCTGCACATTGAATTCTAACTCAATAAACTCAACTCCTGTAAAATATATACCAATTAGCATGTGTATTAGTGTATTATGGTTGAAATTTATTAAAAAATGATTATCTTTAATTTGTTATGACTATATCCATTAATGTTTACATTGAAAATGACAGTATCTATGTGCAAAACAGCAACTTTTTAAATTGTTCTTTTCTTCATATATAGTTGCTTGGTCAACAGTTTCAGTGAATATATTTTTTGCTTTAATACTGTTCATTATGGACAAATTCCATACAACATGTTACTTTTTTCCAGTATAATATGGCTTATAAGGTGAATAAGCATGTATAGGGGAATATGCTAGGCATGTTTCACATAATGTATGAGGGCGGGTTTTTTTCAACCTCCGATGGTCCGTAAAGCAAAGATAAGTGTAAGTAACAAAATGAATTTATTACCAAAAGTTAGGTACAAACATGGTTATTTTTCGATATAATCTCCATGAAGATTGAGGCATTTGTTATATCTGTGGATGAGCTTTTCAATCTTCTGTTCTTAGAATATGGCCTATTGCTGCCAGTGACTTGAGATGGGCTTTAACATTGTTTTGAAGATCGTCATTAGTCTCGAATCTCTGCTCTCCTAGCCACATTTTCAGTTTAGTAAAGAGGTGGAAGTCTTCACACCTTTAATGTGTGAAGACTTCTACCCAGCTTGGAACTTTTTAAACACCCAGCGTATATCCCCAATTTAGTGCAGAGTGATTTTCATCTCTTTCCTGAACTTAAAACATGATTAGGAGGGCAGAGGTTCGAGACTAATGACAATCTTCAAAACAACATTAAGGTCCATCTCAAGTCACTGGTGGCAATGTTCTATTAAGAGGGGATTACAAAGCTCATCCACAGATACGACAAATACCTCAATCTTCGTGATGATTATATCAAAAAGTATCATGTTTGTACCTAAAATTTATTTTGTTATTTACACTTGTCTTTATTTTATGGACCATTGGAGGTTGAAAAAAAAAAACAGCCTATGTATATGCCATATTAATCAAGAGCTAACTTGTATAACTTCATTCTAATACACATAAATTTTGTATGTTTTAAAGTTAGAAAAAAAGAAGAAGAAAACAAAAATACAGATTGTAGATTAAACTGTTGACTTAATGTTTCAGATTTATTTCAGTATTTCGTTATTAAAAATTAGTCTATTTTTTATATTTCTAATTTAGGCTTATAGAACGGATGCTAATTAGAGATCCAGATAAGAGAGCGTCTCTTGAAGAAATAGCAAATGATCCCTGGCTTAATTGCGGTGATGCTATTCAGCCAGCTGATTACTTACCGCTCGTTTCTAGGGAGCACTTGTCAGATGAAGATCATACTCACATCATCCAAAAAATGGTGAACGGAAGTATAGCAACAAAAGAAGAAATTGTAGAGTGAGATAAATATTATTGCTTTTAACGAAAGTTTATTAGTTATGAATTTTATGCTAATAATAATGTTTTTCTAGAGCTCTGGACAAAAATAATTACAATCATATCACTGCTACTTATTTTCTTCTGGCGGAAAGGAAGTTAAGAGCGCAGCGCCAAGAAAAGGCTCAGCTTCTTAACAGTAGAATTTCTCGTACCGACCTTTCTCCAGTTGCAGTCACACCTGGGTTAGTATTAATAAAAAATATTATTATTTTTTTCTTATTGTAAAATATAAGTTTTAAAAAATATAGAACAATAAATAATAGCATTTAATGATATGGCCTGTTTATACTACTTGAGGGACTGAGACTTGCTTTATGATATCTGAAAATGGAAACCGAATAGAATTTTTATTTGTTTAAACTAAGTTTCAAACTGAAACATTAATAAAATTAAGGGTACATTTTTCTCATTTGTTCTAGAAAAATTTATAAAATCATATCTAAATAAACACATTAATATCAAAATTCCAGCAGTAAAAACAATTTAATAGACAGACAAGAATTTTCAACCATCTTAAATAAAAATCATTAGTTTTCAACCTAGTAAATTTGAATGGAGATTGTAATTATAAAACAGTTTTTAAATAAAATGAACATTATTGTTATTGGATGCAACATACACTGTTGCATCCAATAAGAATAATGTTCTTTTTATTTAAAAACTGTTTATTTATGATCTCTATCTACCTAGTTTTATAATAGACTGGCGGAAAATGAAATTCCAACACCAAGAAAGAGTTGTGCTAGATAAATGAACCTTGATAGGCATATTTTCATATCTGAAGGATGACATGTATTCAAATTTTGTTCTAGACGAATAAGAGTGGTGCAAGTAGCGCCACTATGAACATGCACATCACATTTGCTGTAAATACAGGATGTGAACTTGTTGAGCATTATTTATCGTCTTGATTGAACGTTGTAAGTTAAGGTTTGAGTCAAGAATGCCTTTAAGGAGACGAAGAAGACAGTATCAGCAGCTTACTGAGTTTGAATGAGGCCATATAATAGGGCTACAAGAAGGTGGACTTTCTTTCTGTACTATTGCAGAAAGACTTGGCAAGGATGAATTAAACTAAGAAATAGTTCCCATGATCACACTTTGCATGATGTGATCATGGGAAGGTGCTGTCTTGAGAAAACCTCAGTCTTGCCACACACGAGCCACTACTGAGAGGGCTGTATTTGGCGCATGGCTGTGGCACATCATACTGCATCTGCAGCAGAAATTAGAACTTCTGTTGGCACCAGAGTGACCTAATGAACTGTAACAAATCAATTACTTGAGGGACAGCTCTGAGCCAGATGCCCTGTAGTGTTCATTCCACTAACTCCAAATCACTGCCATCTGTGAGTTCAGTGGTGTCGATCAAGAGCTTATTGGAGGATGGAGTGGAGATCTGTTGTGTTCTCAGATGAGAGCCATTTCTGTCTTGGTGCCAGTGATGACCATATGTTGGTTAACCCCTTTTAAACTAATGACATTTCACAGTTCATTATTTGAAAATTGTCACTGCAAACCTTACTCACTCAAGGTCATTCAACTTATATTATTCAAAAATTCGCTAAAAATCCAGCAGTTATCATACACATATGAAAAAATTCACATATATATGTTACTTTTTGTTGTTTACCTTAGTAAAGTTTCTTTTTGCTAGCATAAAAAATTTCTCTTAAAATATATGTTAAAAATGACAGTTTGAATATTATTTATAATTTACACAACTCAATCATAGATAAAATTTTTCGATTATACATATACAGTCGACCCCCTGTAACACCGTTGATTATTCTGTTTTATATGAATTCCATGTTGTACAAGTCACTTAGATTTTACAAATACGCGAGCCATTCACAGCCCGGCACACATATTAAAATTTAAGTGACTCGTACAACATGAAATTCATATAAAATGGAATTATCAACAGTGTTATAGGGGGGTCGACTGTAGTTCATTTTTGTAAGTAACCCTGCATGAACGGCCATTTTGTTTTGTACATTTTGATTAAAACAAACTCAAACAGTCTTTTTACCCAATGAAATTTCTTGCTTCAAAAATTATAAATACTTAAAATAAAATAAAAATAAAATGTCATTTGGTATTAAATATGTGAAACAAGTGTACAGAATAACCTACAGTAGTGTAGTGCCGTCTATGAATGAAATGTTTTATAAGAATCGTAAATTCTCAGATTGATGATAAATCGTCAAGTGATTTGTTTCATTAGTTAATTACTTGACAATATATCGACAAATTATTGCAAAAGGGTTAATGTACCACCATTTCACATTTGAAATGGATCTTCGCACACATACTTTAGGCTGTGACCTTAAAAATTCAATCAAATAAATATGTTACCCAGACAAATGCTTTGCCTGAATTTCATCCCTCTAAACTAATTTTTTCTTGATATTGGGATTTCATTTTCTGCCAGTGTATATCATATATATTAGTTCAAATAAAGTGTGTGTGTTGTTAAATAAAATATTATGTTCTGTTTATAATCTTTACCAATTTAATAGGTTAAAACCTGATGATGACTGTTTAAGTTGTTTTAGTTGCATATTAATGTGTTTATGCTTTGAGATTTTTGGTGCTAGTATGCTTATTTGATCTTCATCCAGTTGTATGAGCCATTAGCTAATAGGGTTTATCCAGAATACTTTCATTAGTACTATGAAATATCATAAATTCTTGAAATCAGCTGATTGGTTTTCAACAAAACTGGTTTTACTTTCCTGGCTGTTATGTATACATAACAAGGGAAAGTATTGGAATTGTTTTTTAATATTTGAAGACAAGTTCGCCCAAATAGGGATCACCATTTTTTACTTTTGCGTTCTAGACAGTACATTTCTGGCAACCGACCTTCCTTTCTAGGCTATTAGTTGCCAAAAAGTTTAAAAAAGTCCTTTTAAAAACACAAAAAAATTTCCAATTAAAAACACAAAGATTTTCTAAAATCAGAACTGGTGTTATACGAACGTCTTTCTTGTTACCATCTGTACTTTCTTGGGGGTGTTTCAGCCTGTTATCCACAGAGAAGAGAGCGCTGGAAAATGCAGATTAAAAAAAAAAATTACGAATTATGATTATAAAATATTGTCACCAAGGGGAATCTTTTTTATCTACATTTTCCAGCGCTCTCTTCTCTGTGGATAAAAGGCCGAAACACCCCCAAGAAAGTACAGATGGTAACAAGAAAGACGTTCATATAACATCAGTTCTGATTTTAGAAAATCTTTGTGTTTTTAATTGGAAATTTTTTTTGTGTTTTTAAAAGGACTTTTTTAAACTTTTTGGCGGCTGATAGCCTAGAAAGGAAGGTCGGTCGCCGGAAATGTACTGTCTAGAACGCAAAAGTAAAAAATGGTGATCCCTATTTGGGCGAACTTGTCTTCAAATATTAAAAAATAAAAAGACCCATCAGATGAAAAAATTATGAATATTGGAATTGTGTCAAATTTGACCTTCCAAGATGAGACCTGAATCCACAAAAGTCATAAAAACAGCAAAACAAAATTTCATGGGTGTGTTGTGTGTTGGCGACTATTTTGCTTAATATGTCAGGATGCTTCTCATATATTTTTATTTAATATTTTTAAGCAATTTAGAAATCTACAGATAAAAACAACATAAATGTTTTAGGTAAAGTGCAGGCTAGTTAGTGCATTTGTTTTTGACATGATATCAGAGATGAATTTTCTAATCATATGATTTTCTTCTGACAATTTCATACTGTCATAATTGCAGTCACTTCTGATATTATTTTAAAGAAACAAATGATCATTTAACTATCCTCTTAGTGTTATTTTGAAAGCATAGAACAATGTTGCACCTTATTCTATATTATATTCTCTTCAAATTGAAGATTAAACAGTATAAGACCTTTTTAAAAATCCTCTTCTATTGACCAATAAACAATCTTGAGTTATAGATTGTAATTGGATAACTCAAGTTTCCAATTTATATCCATCTTACATGTAAATGGTTAATTCAATTTTGTTTAGAAGAATGGAAGCCATCAGTAAGGGCTTGTATAAACTTAGGATCATATCCAAAATGCATACCGTGGTTCTCATATGACCCTCCACAATACAAACTTGCAGACTTTAGGGCTTTTGATCAGTCAGACAGATACCATACATACACATACACACTTTGCCAGACATTTTGGATAGATTGGAGGAATTTGGAATATGTCAAAACACTGGTAAAGTTTTTTTGGATATGATCCTAAGTCAAGTTTTTTGTTGATCAGTAAAAGAGGAATTTAAAAAAAAAAACGCATTATATTACTTAATCTGTAATTTGAAGACAACACAGTATAATGTAAGTATTGTATTTACAAAATGATGACTATCAACTACAATGATTTTTAGTTTTGCTGAACTATGTTCCTAACACTATAAAATTCACTTAAAATCTTCAGCTTTAAATTTTAACATAACAAACAACTGAAAACATTTGGTGTAAAAATTCTAATGCACATGTTCTTTTTTGCACTCATATAAATTGTGCAAGAATATTTTGTGACTTACTAAGATATTCAATATGTTGAATCTCAGATTTTCCAATGAATTGCTTTTTTAATTGAAATATATGATATAAAATGACATTGAATTGGTGATTACATGGTTGAGATCAACCTTTTAATAATAATATGACTTCTCTCTCTCTTTAAGTGTTTCTTCATGTCCATTTTGGGTTTAGCTAGGCCCACTAGTATAGTTGGAGGGTGTAAATAACATCTGGTATATCTAGACCAAATCATTCATTAAAATTTGATCCGATCTAAATACAGATCTGGGTCTCAGCATAACAGATAGATGTATTTCAACAGACTTGTTCATACAGCTTTTTTATAAGGTTCATTAAACCTTTGATACAAATACATGTAATGACAGTATAAAATTTACAAATATAGGGTGCTCCAATAGCAGTGCTATATTTAATTGTGGAATAAAACGCATCATTTATTGAACAACTGTAGATATTTTTTATATGAGTATAGAGTAACATTACAGTTCGTTTCAATGAAGTCACTTTTACATTTGGAAGACAATGTCTGCCAAATGTTCCCATGACTCTGTCAGCACACCACATGCATTCTTTTCACAAAAATTACTTAAGACACTGCCACAATTCTAGCTCATTTCCATCAATAACATATTGAATCTTGAGATCAGAAATTGTTTATAGATTGTTAGCATAAACATGAGATTTGATAAAACCCCACAGAAAAAGTTGCAAGGTGTCAGATTGCACAATATCAGTGGCCAGTTCTGGTTGGAATTGCATAAGATAAAGGCCTAGAAATCTGTCTGCCAGCAACACAATTGTTTCATGGGTCCCCTGTTGAAACTACAGGTGGTGTCCCCTGTTGAAACTACATGTCTTCCAGATCCACATTGCAATTTACATCCAGCACTGTTTATGGGACACCCTTTGCATTTTGTTTGTTTTCATATGAAATACTATGATTTCAAGTTTTATATGTAGATGTAAACCATATTGTTGTATTTAGTATGATTTATTTTTTATCATGTAACAAAACATGACTGGTTGTACATATATTATTTAATTTTTTACTCACAAATTGTTCTAATGTCTTAATACAACATAAAAATATTTTGAAGTGTTTAATCCATCAAGAAGGTTCTGAAATAGTCACAACTTAACTTTTGGTGCATTGAGTCTTTTCTGCTTTTGTTCATGTATAGAAATGAATATTTTTAGAATTCTTAATTTTATAAGTTTTAAAAAAATTTGGTTTAGATTTATGCTAAGCATAAACATATAAGGCTGAAATTATTTTGTTATAATTAGTAAAAGTAATATGGTAAGTTGTCTTAGATATTTATATTAATTTTGGCATTGAACATTTCATTATAATTAAGTCATATCAGTTTTAATTATCATTATTTATATTCAAATATATTTTTAATATTTACAGAATATCATCAGCTGTTCCCTCTCCTGCTCAAGAAAAGCCTACTGTTGGTGTTGAAAGTTTAGTGTCACCATGTTTACCTTCTAAACCATTAGAACCACGACATTTTGGGTCACATTTAGTACCTCCTGGACCATTGCCTGTCCATCCCATTATTTCTCAAAATCTTACCCTGCCATTAGTAAATATGCCATTGCCATTAGCTCGAAAATGTAGCATTGTAAGAGAAGAAGAAGATAATAGTAGTACTGCCAGTGCTAGTTCATCTCCAACCAAATCACCTCTCACAGATAAACCAAAAGATGGATTAGGCGACTTAGCCGAAATTGCAATAAGATGTTTACAAAACAATCAAACTAACTCATCTCTAATGAGAGCGGCAACAATTCAAAGACCAGTATTTACATTACCAGTATGTAGCAATGCTCTTGCTTTAACAACAACTCAGAATAAATCAAAACAGTTAGTAGGTAAATTATCAGGTTGTTCTTCCTTAGTATCGCCTAAATTTAAAACACTACCTCCTCATGGTCGCAAGCTTCACACAGTGCAGAGTTCGCCACAGCTTCCATTGAACGAAATTAACGAAGAAAGTGAAAATGAATCCGGACAAATATGCAGAAGAGGTTCCAATAAGAAAAACTTTTATATTGGAAAGTTACATTCTCACAGTTCAGTTATATCTCACATTATGTTGAAAATGATGGAACAGCATCATAAATTTGGAAAATCGAGAACATCGAGTTGTAGCAGTTTGGAAATTAGTGATGAAGACAATGCAAAGCATAAAAATGAAAAATCCAAATCAAACAGTACCGACGAGAAACAGACCGAAGGAAGCTTAAAGGAAGAAAACAAATCTAACAATTCGGGTTCGGAAAATGGGATTGATTCTAGCAATCCGGAATGTACCGCAAGGGTAAGCAACAATTCATTAGGAAATGGAATAAATTATGAAAATGGTGATGATGAGGGACAAACCAATGAAGAACACAATAGAAATATTTCAGCATTTAATCACACTGTCTTTTCTACAGATAGTACCGACAGTCTCGATTTCTTATCAGAAACACAGCCTAGGCTAGTAAATTCAATGTCTTGTGGTGATCTAACTGCAGAAGTTGAACATTATTCGATGCAAGAAAAAAAAGTGATTCATACAGATAGCATTTCGTTAACAGAAATTCCACAAATAGTTGATGAGAATAGTTACAAAGTTCCTCAATGTACAGAAAATCAAATAGAGAGTACAAAAACAATTAGTCAAATTAGTAATAGTTTCAGTTTAAATACAGGTCTCAGCACTCTGCAAAAGGTGCAGAATCTCAAGGAAATTAGTATAGAAAGCATGACACAAGAAAGTGACAAGAATTCTAGGGTTATTGGTTTAGACTTGACTAAATTAGTACAATCGGCTGATCGTTCTAGTGCCAAAAACCAATTAGACATAAATCAAAATGGATGGAAAAATAATCAGAGGAAGTCGAATAATACTCGTGCATCCGGAAACGATCAACAAGCCGTTGTTGATATGAAAATGGCTTCCAAGTGTTGTACACTTTGTTAATTAATAGTTTTTCATCTTAGGAGGTTCATACTAATCATGCATTATATGTGTAATAAGATTTATTCAGTTTTAAATTTAATGGCCAGATGACAATTAAAATTGCAAAATTTAAAATTTACACTTAGTTTTTAATTAGTGGCCAGATAATGACCAAGATATATATATTTTTTTTCCTTCAGTACAGTGGTTTGCATTTATTTGTCTCAAATTCAGAATCATGTTGTCACTCCAGTCAGTGTCGAGGTAAAGTCGTCTGTTTAATTCTTTATTATTTCTTACTCAGTGCATAATATTTTCATATCTTATACAATCAAATAATTGTCGTGTTAATGGGAACTTTCTTCCAGTCGCATAAAGTCATTCGATATGGGATCAGTTATTATTTAATAGATTTTATGTGCATTTTAAATTTTTCGTATAGATCTTTCTTTGAAAGTATTTTAGTTTTAAATTTTTATGCAATTTATGTATGCTTTCTAATCCACACTTTTTGAAATTGTACTGTTTGTTATATCACACTTGCAGCTGCCTATATTGTTAGAAGTTTAAATGTACATATATTCATACACTTCAAAGGTTTGCACAAATATTTACATAAATGAAGAATCGTACTTCTCTAAACATCTATCTATCATCATTTTTGCAAGTAGGAATCAAGTTAAAACTATACGCAGCTAGCAGATTTTTTTTTGTGATTTTAATTTCTTAAATTAAAAAAAAAAAAGTTATATATATATAATATAAATATATTAATTTATTTATTTCATAATACTCTCACAAACGATAACTTGTTTGTCATCTATGATTGTGCACATTACATTTATTAAATTATTTGTTTACATTATAGATGTAACGAACAGATTATGTAGTAAGTTGTTGAACTCTACCTGTTTTAGTATTTCTCTGAGAAAAAAAAAACGTTAATATTGTAAAAGAATGTAAGTTGCAATATGTTTTTTCCCTCTCTCCACATTTTATATATATTTTGCATGCAAGCAAATGTTTTGAACATTAAATTTTCACACTCGATGCAATTTAATTCTTTTGTTTTTGGTCTAAAACTTGTCTTTGTTATCACTGACAGATTATTTGTAAAGATTGAAGTCTTCCAAATTTGTCATTTGATTGAAAATGCATTTGGATATTTATGCAAATCATTTTAGTTATGCAGTAGTAAATAACAATTGACCTGGTATTAAAAGTTTGCTTCCACGTTTGCGGAAAGTCGAGTTGTATTTATGATGATTTTTTTTTGGTTGGTGAGAGCTGAGTCTAGGTGCTACTTTGAGTTTTAAAAAATAGAACTGTCATGGATAATAATTCAGAATTTTGTATCGGATACAGAATATGTATGATCTTTTTCCATTTGTATGGTTTTCTGAGCGAATAGTTTCTTAAGGAAATCTTATTTTTAGATTTCAATAAACACTTCAATCTTTATTTTCATACCCTTAAAGGATTATTATTTCTTTTGCATTAAATAGTTTAGGTAAATTGCCATTTATGCATGCAAAGTTCCTATATATATATAAATATTTATAAATATTGTTTGTTAAAATTTCAGTTATCTAAATTATTGAATTTTTTAATTTTTTGTCTTTTTTATAAGAAACTTTTTTGACAAGATTTACAAACAAAAGCAGTGTAAATTGCAAATGATAGTTTGATCGGCTGCAAGTAATTTTTAAATTTGTAGTGTTGGTTGGTTGTTTTGCATATCTGTTCATCTCGGTTGTTGCATCCGATGCGGTGATTTCTCTTTTCTTTTTGAATTGGCAGCTATAATATGAAATGAAATACGAGCCAGTAAACAACAAATCGTTTCCTTAAAATTATAAATTGCCACACCAGTCCTTCCTTCATGATTGAAATTGCATTGCTCAAACTTTCTCCATTTCTATTTTTGAAGCATATGTAAATACAAACTATAAAAAAAAACCACCACATAAATTCGCCCTTATGCACCTATTTTAATTGCCACGATTCACATATTCGCAGAAGGGGTGAAAATAAAACTTAAGACTGTAATATCATTTTTCTCAATTATCACAGCACACAGATACACACATACTCGTTGGCATTCTCTCCCCATAATTAATTTAACATATCGGATCAATTATCCACACTCGGCACATGGATTCTTTTTTCTTAAATTTTATAGAATAACGACAGTTTAGAGTTCACTCCACGTAGAGAGCATACACTTTTCCAAAAACGGCAGCGGGCACATTCCTGTTACGTAAGCCATTCCTACCGTGCCAGATTCTTTCAAATAATTAGAAGTTTGCTCTCGGAATTATGCATAGGAAGCCTGTAGGTTATATTTATCATTCATTCCCCAGAAAAGCAATCTACTTACATTGAATAGTGTATATAAAAGAAAAAAGCAGTTTAAATTTATTCTCCAAAGGAACTTCTGGGAGATTTTAAATTCTACTATTTATTGGAAGAACAGGGTGAAGTTGGAATATTAACAGGAATCAGTAATTTTGTCTATCCAAAAAAAAAGGAACAAATGGACAAGATGGGAACAAGACATTATAAGAGTTGTATAAATAAAAGTGAGTTTTCCAAGTTGACTAGTTATAAGAATATTGCTAGACAGTAATTTATAATGGTTTAAAAACAAAGAAAAATTATATATATATATATATTTAATTTTCTATATTNCTTCTATTTATTATATATATATATCTGTTGCTGTGCAATAATCAATGTTAAAAGCACATTTGTACAGTTTTTCTCGGCTCTGTTCATATGTGCTTGATCTTGTACATAAATCATCAAATCATCTGTTTTAAGTGAAAGAAGCAAGTAAACAATTTTTAAAATTATTTCTGTGCTCTTTATTTATTCAAACAAACACTCAAATCATATGATATTACCTTTTCTGTTATAAGTGAAACATTTAGAACTTAATTGTTCAAAGTACAGTAGACCCCCCCATATAACACTGTAGATAATTCCATGTTCTATGAATTCCATGTTGTAAGAGTCGCTTAGATTTTACAAATACGTGAGCCATTCACAGCCCGGCACACGTATTTGTAAAATCTAAGTGACTTGTACAACATGGAATTCATATAACACAGAATTATTTACAGTTATAGGAGGTCTACTGTAATGATTCCTTAATCAATTAGTGTTTTGGTTCACATATGGGGGGTTTATGTGGATGGACAGGCATTGGTCCATCCATATAAAAAAACTCCCATATATTTAATTATATTAAACTGAAGTATTTAAAGGTTGTTAAGTAGGATTGAATCAAGTTATTTTTTTAGAATTATAAGTGCTTGTAAATAGAGTGGGCTGTGAAGTCTCTGTGCAGGAAGTTGTGTCCTGTATCAACTGTTTAAATAATAACTTGATAACAAATTCAACCAATGGGTGAACTGGGTGTGGATCAGGTATGGCCACCTTAAAGTCCAGAGTAAATAATGTGCAATAGTTTCAAGAGAAATTAGCAAAAAATTTACTTCTTACAGGGCCCACCAATGGCTAAGTGGATAAAATTGCTGATCCATTAGTACTGTAGTTGTGGGTTTGTGCCTCACCAATGGGCTCACCATGTGGAATTTCCCATAGAAAGCCCTCCTGGGAGCACCCCATTGGAAGATTGCCTTTATTGCATTACTGTATTCCTCCAATCTGAATCCCTCTTACAACTATAACAAAAATTGGATTGTTTTAATGAATTCCTATTCTGTTAACATGGTAAATAATAATGAACCGCAGCAAGATGAAATGGTCAGTTGAACTCTGGTACTTTTTGGCATTTGAGTCCATTCTCATCACTCCATCCTGCAGGTAACTAAGGCAGCCATTTAAGTATGCCCATTATAAATTTGGCCAAGCCCACAATGGAAACAGCTGGTAGTGAGGGATTAGGATCAACACACCCGAGATGGACTACACCAAGATTCCTTGGATTTTGACGCCAGATTTCATGCTGGATCGTCCAGAACAGTATACTTTGTGCTTTTAAGACCTCAGCCATCTGACCACTGTGCCAATACCATTATGACAATCTAAAAGCCAGAATACTGTATGTGTTTAAAGAATAAATTTAATTTAAATTTTTATGTTCTAAATATCAAATATTTATAGAGAAATAAAGGAGAATATATACGGATTTCTTGGCCATTCTGTGTGTAAAGAGGTTAAGTGTATCTGAATGTTTTTAACTCCACGTGATTCAGGATTCAGCGAATAAAGTACCAAGCTTCGTTTTTGTTTCTAAAATCTAAATTTTTATATGTAAAAAAGGAACAACCAACTGGTATAAAGAACCAATGTTCATACTACAAATGACTGTATAACATTACCGTGTATTGAATTTTTTTCTATTCATTTGTTGTAAAATATAAATGTCGGGTAATCGAGACTGTACTGTATATGTAAAGTCATATTTAAAAAAACCCCATGTTTTACGAAAATTAGAAAAAAACCTAGAAACCAAGAGAAGAACGAAAAACCCAGATCTGGGTTTAAAACCAAGGAATGGTAACCCTGCTTATGCCTGTCTCCTCTGCACCCATTTAATGTTCACTGATCCACAGTTTGTTTGTCTTCTATAATTGACAAGACTATGTCTTGTTTATAAAATCGTACTGCCACTCGTTCTTATCAGCATAGAGGTATGAAGGAGTACTACTGTACAGTACATGTCGAGAGTTGATATTTGGCAGAGTATTAGGTGCCGAAATCATTTGCGCATAAAAAAAATCCAGACTCGTAGGTAGTCTGGGACCGAGAATCGAGTCAAAATAAAATCTAAAATGGCGACCCTCTTCCACAAACAGGCAAAACAGCCACCTCACCCCACCGAAGTAGGGTAGGGGAGAATACTACTCGCAGTCATTCTAAGAAGTGAACTCTGACCTTAGGACCGAACACGTAGTTTCTTTTATGTTAAATAAAATTTGTAATCTAATTTTGTAAATTTGGGAGTGCTTCAAATATGACGGTAAAACGGTTTCATGTCGTTACAAGTGGGTTTTTTTTTAAAATTATCTAGTATAGTAAAATCGTAGGACCGATAAAAATTTGACGTTATATTAGGGTTGTCGTTACATTCGATGACATTATAATCGGGTTAAACTGTATATTTTTTGCGCAAAATAATTTCAGACGATACAATAGCCACGATTATTTTTTCAAAAACGGGAACTTTTCGTTACGCATCGACAAAAATTCAACCCGGGCCGACACGCAACGGAGAGAAATTTTAAAATTAGATAAGTTAATTTCATCGTGGACAATCTCGTGGTCGTGGCCGGCAAAATTTGAACGATCGCGCCCAAAAGCAGCGATATCAAAGAAGATACGAGAATGAGAACGAGAGACCTGCCTTGAGCGTATTTGGTACAAGACCATAGTCTTGTACCAAATACGGTTTTGCCGTTTTACTTGTTTTAAGTATTATAACCTTTCAATATATTAATACCAACTGAAGAGGGACTGTTCCAGTAGTACGAAATGCATTTTGGTTATTTCATGTTAATTACTCATCTAATCGAGTTTTAATTTTATTTACATACATTATACATCAGTAGCGTGCCGTGACATTTGATGATAGGGAAGCTGTGTTTCTATAAGAAGCCGACTTCCAGGGGCAATCAGTCAGCAATGGTCTAGGGTCCATTCGTATTCGTTTGTTCGATAAGCCAGTAAAAACCGTAGACTTCTCTAAATGTATTTTTAATTAATAGATTATCTAACGCACTTAATAAATAAGCAAGTTCAATATAATTAACTCTCTTATATTAGATTTAATAGATTCTATACGCCCTCTAAATGCCAATTCTCGCT